TCAGTGTTATTGGAACTTAAGTATTTCATTATGAAGAGATATCTTAAACTCTCTTTATCTTAAAAATCTAACGTATTGAACTAATATTTACGTGTAAACACTTTATAACTAGAGTGGCCAAAAATATCTGACAAATCAACTCTCTAAAAAAAATTTTGTCAAAAGAAATATAATAATCTGGTAATGTTTCAATGTAACAATAAAATTGAATCGCAATTATTTAAATGATGCTCAGAAAATAAATGCTGAAAAATAAGAGCAGATATAGAAAATAATCGTAAAATTATTTGAAAAAAATTTGAGTTATCGTGCGATGTACAATTATTGTAATTTAAACTGACAGCTTTAAACCGTTTATAATTAAGATAAAAAACCGTAAAAAAAAAAAAAAAAAAAAAAAAAAAAAAAAAAAAAAAAAAAAAANAAAAAAAAACAGTAAAAAGCCGTTTTGGAAAAAAAAAAACAGTTTTAAACCATCAAATATACAGAGAAAGTCTGTAAAAAAGAAGCGAATTTTTTAGAGAAATCTAAAATTTTATAGAAAGAGTGTATAGAATTCTTACTGCTAGCTTCAATTTATGCACATTATGAAGTCATTTAAGTCACAGTCATCTTTTATTTATATGTATAATTGATTTTCATGTTTAGCGTACATTCCTTACAAAACTTCCATACATGTAAGAATAGATCCAAGTAGTAACTATAGACCCGATTTTGTTTAATTAATTAATTTTCAACGCTTGCTGTCTTTGTCTTATCATAAAAATATACTATAAAAATAAAACTGTCTTTTCCCCCACGTAAATTTTTTACAATATTTTTAGTCAATCTCAACTATTCAACCTTATTTATTTTCCTCTGTTTTACCAGATTTTGTTTCCAACTTTTCAACCTGATACACTCCAACCAACACGTTCTATATTTAAATATTGAACAAGTTGTTGTTTAATGCTATGTAAATTCTAGAAATTTATTCTTCGTTTCAGTTTTGAAATTCTTAATTAATAAACCAAAGAATCACTATCGTCAATTGAAAATAGAAATAAGAACTGTAATATCGCAAAACAAAAAAAACAGAAATCAGACTATATGAAAATCATGCCTCTTTGATGTTTTCCTTGTTTTTACATAATAAATATGTATTCAATGAATATTTGTAATATTTTGTTAGAATTTCTGTTTTAATTTCAAATGTCTATTCAATGCTTAAATTCATCATAAATACTACACAGTAATGTTTTTCTTAAATGAACACTATTTGCATGATTACATGCATTTATGCTTATCTATCTGCTATTATTTATCCACAGAATGAGGAAAATTTTCATTCATTTTTAAAACTATATGCTCTTAATCGAGAGAGAGACAGAAAATAAATTCCAAGATAGAATAATATTTTCTGTAACAAAAATTTAAAGTTATTTTTAATCTACACATTGTTACAAACTAGCTTCAGAAAACATGTTTCAGTTTTCAAGTTCCAATTTTAAATACTTCAGTTATCAAGAATTATTAATTATTCAGGTATTAAATAAGTTAAATAGAAAATCATATATCTTTCACTAGACACAAAAGCTAATGAAAGTTATCATAAAGCTGTCAGATACCAAAAGTATGTCATTTCATAATACCTTTGTTTAATATTGAGTTAGGTAATCCAAATGTTGCTCTAGTTGCGATAACGTGATGGTAATTACAGACGAGGTAAACCATGTTGAGAGTTTAATTTGAGTTGTTGTCGAAACATATATGTCATTCGATTTAATTTCAATTATGCAGAAACTGCTGGCAGTGAAATGTTCTCCGATTAAAAAACACTGTTTATCAGATTTTACTTTATAGATATCATTTAAATTAATAATTAATACGATTAATTGATTTTTTACAAATGTTTTTGTGCTTGACATAAAATCTTTATTTTGCTCTTAGAAAGAAAATATGGTCAAAACTACTAGTATACGGTAAAACTTACGTTTTTCATGCCAAGTTATAGTGAAATAGGCTTTTTTGTGGTTGGAGAAAAAGGAAAATGTAGTCAAATGTAAAGGAAATAAAAAAATTTTGATCTGGCTGGTTTAAATTTAAATTAATACCTTTATAACCTATTTTGTAAATGAGAATTCTGCAAATTGCTGCTTTTTTTGGTTAAATAACTTTACTTGAAGTCCCGTTTTACTTAAAAGACAAAAATGAGTCTATGCAAAGTACTTATTATCCTTCTATCGTATACTTTCTAAATTTAAACGATGACGAAAGCTTTAGGTGAGAGAAAAGTTGCTTTTGGTTGGTAAAATCAAGCAAAAGAGATGTAAATTGGAACTGTATAAAAACTGTAAAGGGGGTAATAATCATGAATCAATTAAATTGAATTAGAATGATAAGGGCATGATATATCCTGCAAATGAATGTGGAATGAATAGTGAATGCAAAAGATTTTAAATGATCCATCTTTCTGTAAATGATAAGTAGAAGACCTAAAAAAAGAGTTACAATGTCAACCAATACGAAAAATTTGATGTGCTGTAGGAAAAAACTTGAAAATTTCAATGAAAAAATTTGGACCAGGGCTTACCGATCAAATACTGATAATGAATATCTTGCTAAGAAGATGCGCAACATTAAAATATAGTCAACATTTGACTAAAAGCATATATTACAAATGCTTTTTTTTTAAAGCACAAAACTTGTGTTTTTTAACTTCACCATAACAAATAGTGTAATTAATACCACATTTTTTAAAAAATTTAAATAAATAAAATACCAAAATACTACTAATATTTCAAAGCTGTAGTATTCATATAAGAAAGCTGATGAAATGATCAATAGGTCATTTCTGTATTCATGGAGTTGGTGGTAGCATGAGGGTTTTATGCCATCATCCTTGTAACATTTAAATATATTTCAATGTTCCGAAATTTTTATTAAATTTAAATATAATTCTTTAGACAAATATAAAATTGAATATTTTTGTGAAGTATGATCAAACTTTAAAATAATTTTTGAGACGAATATTTAAGTATTCTTGCGAAATCTTAATGAAATTTAAATAGCATTCCATTGACAATTATAAAATCGTGTAGTTTGCGAAATATTTATTAAATTTAAATAGAATTATTTAGAAAAATAAAAATTGAGTATATTTTACCAAATTTTCATTAAATGTAGATAAAACTTTCTACACGAATGTAACATTTATTATTTTACAAATGTCTTATTAGATTTAAATAGAATTTTTTAGAAAAATGAAACATTTCCGAAACATTTTCGAATTTGTGACAGCAAATAGATTTCAAAAATGAATTATATTATAGGAATCTATGAATTTTAAATTAAACAAGTACTAAACTTGGTCTTAAATGTAATTTTTTTGTAAACTTTTATGGAAGAAGATACTTTCTTTAAACTTATAAATCAACATTAGTGTTGCTTTTATTAAATAACATTTATAAAAAAAATTTCATCGCATAATTTTTTAAAAGCATTTTACACTATTTGATTAGAAAAGAAATAACACAAATTCCAATCCGTTTTATTCACCGAAAATTTGCTTCTATACCAAAATAATGCATTGTGTCAATTAAAAGACATCCTTTTAAGATTCTCAAACAAATTCCGAAAATAGTGTCAATATAAGTCCTTATACCATTTGGGAAATCCAGGAAAAGGGAAAAAAATACAGGTAAGCTCTTTCCCTTGTTTCACATGAGAAACAAACTAAATAAACCCATTTTCCTTTGGGTGCCCAATTCTTTTTTTTCCCGTTTTTTTCCGCATTTCTTCGCTGTTGCAAGTAATGGGAATCGATTGGGCCCCGGGCACGCTTGGGGACCCCAACAGCCGATAATGAGGCTAAAACGTCCACGGTTTTTATCGTCTTTTTAGGTTACAGATTTATTTTTCCTCTGTTTCCTTTCCGGTTTCGTTTGTAACTGCGCAAGAGACATAACCATTCGCTAATGAGAAACGAAAAGGTCTTCGTGGAAATAAGTTCCAGTAAGAGGTATTTTTATTTATCTTATTATTTCGCAAACTAATCCGTGAGTGAACACGCCATTACTCAACAAACAATTATATTCCTGTTTTTTGGTATTTCGTTAATTAGTCTACTTGGAACTAATGATTGCGGACTTTCTTCGTACTTAAGTCAGAAATATTTCAACAAATCGCTGGAATTTCCAGAATCGCGAGATTCCTCAAGTCCATTTTTGCTTAATGAGCAAGAAATGCATTTGTAAATTTCATTTAAATATTTAGTTAAATTTAGACTATTTTTATTCGAAAACAAAATAATACTTTATTGAATATATACTTTTAAATATAATTTCATAAATTCAGTTGGTTCTTTAAGGAAAAATTGCTATTTAAATTGAAAGAAAATTGCTACATGTATAATTTTGCAAGTAAATGCTAAATTATATTTATTAAAAAATTAATATTTTATTAATCCAACAAATCCCCAGTCAAGTTTTGTCCAATAAAAATTTGTATTTTGAAATTTATTATAGAAATATTAAGATAAAGTATTTCCTAAAATTAGGGGCCTTAAAAATAAATCAAAACTGCTTAAGTTTAGAAAAGCTTTGAAGACGAAAAATTTTGTTAAAACTCCCAAAGACATTGTCTTTGGGAGATTTTTAATTTTACTTAAACTATTGTTTAAAACATGTAAATTAGCTATTAATTTTGAAACCGAACTAACATTTGTACCTTAGGGTTAAAAAAAGTTATATATATATANTATATATATATATATAAATATTAATAATGCCTGTGACAGAAATACTCTAGAGTTATTTCATTTACAAAATGCATTAAAATGCTTTTCGACGTTTCTTAATACATAATTAACCTTTGTGTACAGGCAGTACTACACTTTGTTTTGTACAAATTAAAATTTGCATGTTAATAGAAGTTTTTACAAATGTATTTTTAAGAGATTGTCGCATCGAGTTTGCGCTTGACACAAGGGAAGCAACCTGTAAAAAATACACCAAAGAAAATTTATTTTTGTCATCAGTTTATTTTTCTAATACTCTGTACACAACACTTACATATATACACAAATTTCATTACACACAATAAATATAAAAATAAAACATTTGGCGACCATCATTTCAAAATTTCTAATGCTACAATTTTAACTTAATTATTATTTTTTTATATAACAAAAATTTTTTTTCGCATAAAGTTGGTTATATAAAGTAACAAATTATTAATGTAACGAATAGGAATTGTGCAGTTATTTAGCCCAAAATTCATGAAAAAATTTAATTACAAAAATTGGTGAATTTTAAATTTCATTAAATATAAAATTAATATAACACTATGTTAGATTAATATATTATTTTTATTTATCATTAAATTTTATATTAACATTTACACCAAACAATTATTTTATAAATGTTTTACGAGAAAAAGGAGAGCTCGACGTTTTTAATAACCCGTCAAATTTTTATTTTGCAATGTTTCAGACTTTTTTAAGGATCTAAAAAATCACAAAAATCGTGGTTACTTAGTATGGAAGACGTATCACTATAAAGTTCATGAAATGTATGAATTAATTTTTATGAAAAAATTATAATTTATCTTCTGATATAGGAAGTTTTATAAGCAGTGTATTTTTATTGGCATGTAATAAAAATCAACGAAACGCTTTGTCATCGGATCAAATAGGAAATTATATTATACAGAAACAGTTTAAGATCAGTACTTGAAATATAGGAGTAATATTGGGTCTGAAAATGTCGAAACAAAGCCAATGAATACATCCCATTTGTGAAACTGTATAGACTGAGAAGAAAAAAAAATTTAATAAATATGGACCATTTTCTAATGTATTATGCTATATGCTTTAACTAGTATTTGTTCACAAAAAGAGTTGAATTCATATTAAAAAAAATGCACACTGAACTGTAAACCCGGGAAACTTTAACAGACTTTGTAATTTTGTTAATAGTGTTGCTTAAATTCTTACAAAATGTTGAGTAAACCAAAGGACGATAAGTTACTGATAAAAACTACACAGAAGACAATTTTCTTCGACTTAGAAATACAATAAATCTTTCTCATTCTTTACTTTCTGTCTTTTGCAAAGATATAATACAGCCTAGCAGGGCCTAACTTTTTCGGTTACTCGATCTTCTGGTTTTTCCCTCTAACATGTATTTAAAGTTTTGCAGGTGGTGTTTTGTTGGTTTGTGTTACAACTCTTAAAATCTCATGATGATTGTTAGAAATAATCAATATTTTATCGTTTCATTTTATTCTCGTTAAAATGATCAAAACACGGTTTTAGTATTATCAAATGTTAGCTATTAACCTTAATGTAATATTCTGATTCAAGTATTGCGAGGGTAAATATTTTATACTTAAAAAATTTAAATTTATTTTGAGAAGTTTTTTTCTTTAGATATTTTTATAGATTAAATCCACAATTTTTTTTTAAAACTGTGATTATAAAAATAATATGATAATGAATGCCACTTTCCATAGAACAGAATATAATGTTATTTAAATTAACATTTGTTATTTAGACATTTAGATATTGTATAACAATATTCATTTGTTAATTTGTCAATAATGAAGACTACTAATGATGTTAATTTCGCTGATGGGAAGACATTTCAAATAAGTCATCAAAATGATTCTATTTATGGATTGAACACTATAATATGATTTTATAGTATTCTCAGACCTTAAAAAATTAGTTATAATAAATCAAAACTTCAAATATTACTTTCATAAAATTTCTTTTTATTAATTTGGCCTTTAAAAAATTTATTTTTCTTCAATTTCAATTAAATTTAACTTTTATTATTCACTTTTATGAATTAATTTTTGAAAAGTACAGTGTTAGAATTTTCGTTCTAAAATAACAGTAAAATAAACGGTAGTAGTTAGCCCATAAATAATGGTAAAAATTACAGTAAAGAACATTTACAGTTTTGAAACCGTTTACAACAAGTATGGTTACAAAACCATGAATTCAAAACTACATGTTTTTTTTTAACCATTTACAACTTGCATGGTTTAAAGTCGTAAAAAAAGAATTTTATCAGTATATTGGGACTAGGATTTAAAACTCATTGGTAAAAGGACTAGGTTAGTTAGGCTGTGGTACAAAAGTTTTTTTTTATCAAATGAACCGCAGAATGTGGTTTAATTATTTTATCTGGTTGTTTCACTCAACGTAAGAGATGGGAAATACTAGAAAGATCATGTTAAACGTATTCATGTTACTGGCATATTTGCGTGGATGAGAGTATTTCATTCTGAAAGTCCAGAGTCAAAAATTGGGAAATGCAGGGCCCTGGAAAATCTTCATGTTTTGAATATAATGTGATACCAAAACTGGGACTCAATCGCACTTTCTGACGGTTGTGAAATAGACAAATTTGCCCTGTCTGCTATAAATTGTACCCAGCTGAAAGGAACTAACTGGCATCATTAAGAGGGCTATGTTAGTGCTATAAAATTCTGATTGTTTAATCGTATTAGCTGAAAACAGGTAATAAACGGTATTTTTTTCATAATTTGAACACTTCCTTATTTATGATTATTTGACTATTTAGTTTGAATATAGTAAAATAAAAACTAAATAAAGTGTTGTTAAACCACTTTTCTCTGAGAAATTTCTAACAGTGTATCATAGTAATGAAATAAAGTATGATTTGTTTAGAACTTAACTACTTTCTGGAATTCCATTGTTATGCTCATTTCAACACTCAATTGTGATTTAATTATAGGAAACTATTATTTTGAATTATTTCAACACAATAAAAAAACTATCCTCATTATTATCTCACATTTAGATCGAGTACAGAAAATGCTGATGAAAATAAATCACAATATATCATATAAACACTCAAAGTATCTCGACTTAACTTAGTACCTCGTAGCACAATCTTAACATTAAATAATTTAAAAAATAATTATTACTCTCAGTTACACCAAAACAAAATTTCTTCTAAATTTTAACAGTTATATTATTTACTGAGAAACCGCAGTATCTTCAAAACCAAATGGTGTTAATATTAATCCCTCTTTTAACTTTGTTCTATGTTGTTGCTATACGCTTAAATTGAGTTACTTATTTTTTAAGAAATTTAAAAATAAATTAATAAACATCAATTTAAAAAATTTTCACAAAATAATTTTGATATTCAAAATGCTCCAACACAGTTCATCTGGTAGTTGAGCTTAGAATTTTATAATGTTTTGAACATTTTATAACCCGAATAAACGAACAGCAAGTTTGTTTCTTCTATTCATTCTTTACGTTCGAATGTATATTCCTTAGCTCACTCTAAAATTTGCCACATTTATAAACCATCTGTCAACAAGTTTGAAGAATAACATACTTATAACTTCTTTATAAACATGTATCTTTCAAAAATTTATAACTGATATTGCTTGAAACTTTCATCTTTTGAAGTATCATCAAAATTATTTTCTTTCTCTCTACACAATATAAATCTTTTATTCACATTTATAAACAATTCATAACTTTTCATTACTGTGCTTTTTTTATGAAAAGGACATATAACGTGTAAAGAGACAAAATAGGCCTGTGCGATTATGAATTCACCTCTAGGTAAAATTCATATAGTACTCCATGTCTCATAGGTGCTTACACGTTAAGCAATTTTGCACCAATTATTATTCCCATATAAAAATGTTAAAGGAATAGATAGCTGTTATTTTCATAATTTCTATTCTTTAGTTCCACTTTCACTTAAATCTGAAACTCCACAGAAGATGTAAGCAAATTACCAAACCCTGATGCATAAATATTTGTTTGTTGGATAGAAGTTTAGTGGAACTTGAAGCACCTGCAAAAAACATAGTTTTAATTCGCATATAATATGGACAGAGAACTAACATACTGAAAAAAGACCTATAAAAACATATCTGCAGCTAAGTGATATATTAAAACGAAACTGCAAAATGCATAAATGTAATTTACACAAAATACAAATATATATTAAGTGCAGAATTCATTTTCTAATGTAAGAACTTTATTTATAAAAAAACACAATTACACTGAATAGATCAAAGAAGAGCATAAGTAAAAGAAAACATAGTTTTAATTTACATAAAATTCAGCTTCATATTGAGTACATAATTTACTCAGTATAGAAGAGCCTTATAGATTAAAAGCATTCTCGTACCGAATAAATAGATTACACCAAATGATTATGTTATTAAAACCTGTAATTTTATTCAGATTCCCGCAATTTTCCATTTCAATAACTATAATAATGGACATTAATGCACATATTCTTAGCAATTCTATTAAAATTCAAATTAAAAAGAAAGGGATACCATAGCATTCAAAAGACTCCAATGAGAACAATTTTAAAACGTTTTCAACTTTTGACCGTTTATATGAGTGAAAACAAATAATTTTTATTTTATTTATTATTATAACCAAACTCGAATAATATCCCATTATTACTTATTTATTATTATGAGTATAAACATTTGCAAACATAAAAACTAAAATACAGTACGTTATTTACCTGTTCAAATGTATTCAGCCACATTGTGATTTTAATTTCATTTAATTTTTTAATGACTTTAAGTTGAACATTTAAAATAACAACTAAAATAATTCAGATTACTATTAGTACTTTGGAGCTATGACCATTGGGGCAATCATAACAAGGTTATTTATACATGCAGATTAAATTTTGTTTCATTCCGGTTTTCGATGTTAAGCGTAATATATATATATATATATATATAACAAAAAGAAATTATCTAAGTGTGCTTTAACTCGGTGATGGTAAAAAATAAGAGTGGCAAANTATATATATATATTGAATATTGATGACTTCTTACACGACGTTATGGTTACTTCCACTTGCTGATGTAAGTGAGTAAGATCTGGAACCTACAATAAGACTTAATTTGGACGGAGTACGTCTGAAGATTGGTCAGTGAAGTATACCAATACAAGACTCGATCCATCATGATATTATAAATCACTACGCACTTACATAAAAGTGACGCATTTTACTTTAATAAGCCGTTTCTAAAATACTTTACGTTTAATAAACACTCCAAATCTTAACATTGCCAGCGTTACGTTAGTCAGTTTGATATGTAACATAAACCTTGTTTTTTACCGATATTAGATATATTTCCTGCCCTCACTCCCGTGTAAAGTGAATTTGTATTCCTGAAAAAATTCCACTCACACTTCTAGTCTTCTAATCTTTTTTTCTTATTAATTGTTCCTTTATTCCTGTTTGCCAATACAATTTAAAATCATAGAAACGTTTTGTAACAGTACTGCTATAAACATTCTCAACACTTACTGGAAGCTTCATGCAATTCGAGCAAAATTTTTCAGTACGACACAGACTTGTGTTTTATAATACGATTATCTTTTTCCATTGTTTCTGTTGGTTTCCCACTTTTAGATTTACATTTTAAGTCATATTATTAAAAAACAGAACACTAACAGTTTACGTACTAATTGAATACTACTATGAAATTTCACGTTTTATTTTGATAATTTTATTTCTATCTAATTTAACTTCAGATTTATTTATCTAAATGTAATGATAGTTAATTCAAACTGAATATTAATTACGGAAATATTTAGAATTAGTTCGATTATAATGGCATCTTGACAGTTGACTCCAAGTCAAGCAATAAAAATATATGAAGTCGGATTCTTTTGAAGAAAAAAATATTGGATTTTATTCTTATGTTTAAAAGTATTTAAGCGTATAATAGTAATTACAAAATTATCAGATATCATTTGATTTTGATTTCAGTGATAAGTAAAATAAAAACTTTTCTTGTTTTACTCCCCTAAAAAGCCAAATCTCAGAAAAAGTAAAAAAAAAATATAAATGAAAAAATATATAAAAAATCATAATTGTCGGAAACTTTTGCATTTCACTTTATAGAAGAGTTACAAGTAATGAAAAGACAGAAATTAATCAAAATTTAATGAACCACTGACAAGAAATTTGGGGCTGAAAACATAAAGTTCTGCTTTGAGGAAATAACCAAAAATCAATTGAAATTCAAAAAATTGGAAACACTTCAGTCAATAAAACTACATCAATTGTATTATAATCAATTGCGTCAATCGATTGTGTTATGATCTACATAAAAAACTCATAACTAGAAATACAGAAGCAAAAAAAATCAAATGCGAAATTCTGAAATGTGCCACTGTCGAAAATCGTATATTTGAGTGCTTGAAACTTTACTCAGTCAATTATTTTATTGTTTGAATTATCTAAGCTCATAATCTACTTAATCCAAAAATATATTCATTCAAGTTTAAGAATTCATGACCAACTTTAAGAAAAAGTAATAAAATGCTTTTTCAAGCACAACATAATCCATGTCATTCTCAGGTAGAAAACTGAGGAATTGGAGTATTTTTTTTAAAATGGTGTGAATATCGCAAAGTAAAAGAAAATCACAGATTTTTTACGGATCTACACTTTCTGGACAAAAGTCTTTCAGAAACGCATTTGCTTGCTTCTGATTCTTCACAATATAGAGTGAAGAAACGATAGTAGAAAATTAAAATATCTTAATGTAAAAAAACACAATTTTTTCTATGAAAAGTTTAGAAAAGTTTAAAGAAAAGTTTTCAGAAAAGTTTAAAGGTTAGGAATAGTGTTTTATTAAAGTAGCTAAATGTTTTTATACGATCATTTCGTCACGTAAAAATCAAGCACTGCAAGATATCGTGAACAAACAAAGATTCCGTTTCGAGTAGAATCTACCATTTGGTATATACTATTGATTCCCTTTTACCTCATATTTTGCACCGTTTTTGAAGCAGGGAGATTATTTTTCCAGCTTGATATCAGGCGTTGCTGCAGCTGATATTATCAAGGCACAATAGCCACTTTAATATAACTCGATATTAGTTTAATATTATAAACATGAATCTATCTAAAACTATTTGATAGGTGAAAGAATTGGTCAAGTCTTTATTGAGTACCTTGTACATTTTCAATTAAAAAAAGTGATTTGAATAAGGATGCCATAAGAGTACATTGGTAACTATTAAATATATTAAATAAATAAATAAAAACTATACCTTCTGAAACACTTGGACGTTGAATTGGAGGCTCAACGTCCCCATTAAGTTCCTTTGTTAATGAGTCATCCTGCATTGGTGGACCTTTACCTGAAAATTAAAAAAAAAACAAAGATAAATAAATAGAAATAAAAATATGACAGATGAATGTCAATTAGTTAGCATTTCTAAAATCCTTATAAAAACATTCATTTTAATGCAATATAGTATTTTACAAAACTGTCAATAGTAAGTATCAATTTATTTCCAATCTAATGGAATACAATTTTATTGTCAAATTTCTACATTGCTCAAAAATTACCCAGAAATTGGATTATACATTAAAAATGAATTCATATTGATGTTAACATAGGTTTACTGCGGTTGAATTTTTATAAACATTTAGTAAACAGTTTGATTTTTTACAAATTATTAAGAACCCTTTAGACAAGATGCATAAACCTTCATCGATGCATTTATCTCAGTTCGAATACAAGATAATTAAGTTTCATTTTCACCCAATATCAATCTTAAAGTAAACTGATGCAATTCATCGTTCTTTTCGATGATTTTTTTTCATGTTTTCAATTTAAATTAAAATGACTTTTTATTTTATATGTAATTCTCAAACCTGTCTTCAAAATATTGCCTACTTGCAAAAAAAATATTTCGAATGTTTGCCACAAAAGATGCCGAAAAGAATTATAATAATACAGGTATGGAAAGTGCAATTTTTATATTCGAGTTGATTCATAGAGAATGCATAGTTTTCAGAGGCTTCAAAAAGTTTAAAGTATATAAATTTAACCTTAAATGCCCCCGTACAATTTTAAAAACACTTATTTATTCACATTTAATTTCGGCAAAATCAAGAGATGTGGTAATTTTCTTATTTATTCCTCGTGTCCGTGATCTTTCGGGGTTAAAGTGTTCAAACTTAATGAAACCAAAACGTTTAAAATATATTAATCTCTTGTACTTGGATTTTTTTATTTCTTATTTTACACATTAGGTGAGAAAAAAAATTCTGTAAAAACTAACCAGATTGTGACGTTGCCCTTTTCATCTCATGCTTTTAAATTCTTCATACAAGAAAAAATTACTAACATTTCTTAATATTATGCGTAAGTTTAATGAAATTCAGCTTTAATGCTTAGTTTTAAACGCAATGCTCTTTGTTTGCAAGCAATTTTTAATTTTCCCTGTTCACTGGGAAACCAACATACAATCTCAATAACCCTTAAAAATAGCTTCATCTAAAAAAATTATTTTTTTCACTAATTTTCTAGCTAAAAAAATCATGATCTATTGTTCATACATCATTTTTGAATAATTTTCTTGAATGAAGAGTTTTCATTGAAAATAATAAGATTGTTAAGGGGTTAAAGCAAAAAGTTGAGAAAATGTATAATAATGTGCAGATTTTTTTTATAAATAGAAATAAAAAATATTCATTTTGAAGAAAAGTTTTTTAATATTTGTTGAAAATAATCCCAAACACTCATTTTTAATCATTTTATGCTTAAATGTTTTCAAATAGTTTATGTAAGGGATGATTTTTAATTTATGTAATACTTTTCATGTTACGCATCTTGTATATTTTGTAATGGAATAGGGAGTGATAAATGATACGTCTATAATTATTTATGTCGATAGAGGATGCATGAAAAGATTTCATCATAAGAGATTTGTTCACATGTGTCAAGCACGTGATGACACGCTTGCGACCAATTTTACAAGAATGGATAACAAGGAAATACTAAACGAAATGTGACGTTTACTTAAAAGCCATATTTGTTTTCTCTTTTTAGTAAATTTTTTCTTTCAGTTTAAAGCGTACTTTTAATTCATGAATATATCTCAAAATAATAAATATAAATATAATCAACCATTCATTTTTTAAGCAAAGTATGCATTGAACTGCTTGCAAAATATGAAATAATAAAATACAAATAAAAAAGCAGGGAAGACATAACTAATTAAATTTTTAATTAAGTGCTTGTTATTTTTACCAGTTAATTAAATGTGTTTGAAAGTAAACGTTTCAAAACACGCTTCATATCATTTCTCTATTTATGAACATTCGTTAAAAGCACACAACCTTTTAAATTCACTTCTATTTAATTGACAGAGATATATTCACTAAAAAAAAACACTCCTGGTACTTTTTAGAAATATGCTTACCTTTGACTACTTCTGTTTCTGGCGTAGTTGGTGTATTGATGAAATGCTTCGAGTCATGTATTTCTGTGAGAAAAGTAAAAGAAAAAATTAATTAAAATTCTATCATTTTTCGATAATTTTGTTACCATTTTAATTTAAGATAATACGAACACATAGAAAATATGTACATTTCTAATTTAAAGTGATTCGTAAAAAAAGGAAACAGAAAGACGAAAAAAAAACTTTTGAGAAGAGTATGTTTTAAATAAAAGTATAGACAGATTATAATTTCGAAATTAATTAATTTATTATATTTTTAATTTCAAAACTTTGCATGTATATTTATAATTGATGCTCAGTTTAAACTCTATAAATGTTTTTTGATTGTGTATATAATAAAATTAATTTTAGTACCGTTTTTAAAAGTATAAGTAAATTTCGATTAAACATTTTTTGAAATCAAAAAAATGGTTTAAACAAATGTTTTATGTTCTAAGACTTCATAAAATATATTTTTATATCAATTAATTTGCCGACCAATATATATATACATATAAACCGAAAAGCCATTACATTACGACCACCCTCCATCTATAACAATGGGCTCGCCCTGGTTTTCACGGTTTCTTGCCCAGGAACTATGTTTTCATGGGGCGTACATTAGGACCCATAATCCTCATAGAACAATCCCTGACGTCTGTAAGCTACTTGAACATAGTTGCAGACCAGGTTCACCCATTCATGGCAACAGTTTTTCCTGCGGGGGATGGTGTTTACCAACAGGATAATGCACCTTGTCATAAGGGTCGAATCGTCATGGATTGGTTCGAGGAACATTCCAGTGACTTTCAAGTCATGTCTTGGCCTCCAAATTCACCTGACCATAATCCAATAAAGCATTTGTGGTCCTACTTGGAAAACCAAATTCGTGCTGCCACGCTACCCCCTCTCAATGTGAGGGAATTGCAGGAACAGTTGGTGAGCGCTTGGAACCAGATACCTCAGACTACCTATCAGCACCTCGTGGAATCAATGCCACGGCGGGTGCTAGCAGTTTTGAGGACAAAAGGTGGTCCTACATGTTATTAGCAGGGTGGTCATAATGTAATGGCTCTTCGGNTATAAATATTTATATATATAATTTTCCGAGTTATTGCTGTTATGGCAGAGTAGTTAAGGGATTGAACTATCATTATGATGGTCTAGGATTCAATCCCAGTATCGACTTGAAGCTCTTGTAGATTTAGATCGGTGGGTACCAGCTTGTCTGGTAAATAAAGGCTGCCTGAACGCTATACCGACCACATTGCCTCAATCATGCCGTTGCTCGTGTAATTGGAGAGCCTTAACCTCCATGACCCCTTGATCTCTAACCGGCAGTAGCGTAACGCTTTATTTCAATAATACTGTTTTTACAAATGAATTAATTTCAAATGATAGGTAATCAAATAATTAAGAAAACTTGTAATTTCTTTGCAAATAACATGACATAATAAATTTTGAAAAATAACACAGAATCATATGACTCAAAATTCAAAGCGCATGACAGTTTATGAAAGAAGAAACATTGATTAATCATTTGAGTCTTTAGTATTCAGCTGTCTGTTAAGACATTTTTGTACTTTTTATAAGACTTGTGAAATGAATGCAAATGGCAGCAGTATAGCGTGTCTTTAACACTTTAGTTAATGGTGTGAAACCTTTGACATCTCTGTGTGTTATTCACACGCACATCCATTAAAATTCTTTAAAAGTATCTCAAAAAGAAGAATAAATGCTTGGGATCTAAATGTGTCATAAACCTTTTTAATTAAGGCTTTAAATAAGATTAACTGTTTTAATGCTAATTAAATATATTGCTGATGTCATAACACGCTAGTACACATGAAATATGAGCTATTTAAATATTTTATTCAAAGAAAAGTATATATGAAAGTATACAAGTATAGTGTCGTAAATGTATATTTTTTGTCACTAAGAGATCTAAAGTAAGCAATTAATTTTTAAGATTTCATAAATTAAGATTATTTATTCAGAAAGTAAGTAATAAACAAATTTCTGAAATGGATAGAATTACATACTTCAATAATTACTTTGATAGAAACATTTTAATTGAATTTACGACATATCATTTAGACCTTAATTGAAAAATGAAGCTTTTTACTTTCAATTATCGGTTTCAAATAACACACTAATTAACGATATTTCGAATTAAACTTTGCCATACTTGTAAATTAAGTTTAAACCGAAGCAGTTCTTTTTACTTTTTAAAAGTAGAAATTATTATTTTAATTTAAAATTTAAATTGATCTTTTGTTGTTTTAATATACATGAATATTTCTATTACTTTAATATTAAGAAGCTATTTAATTTATTTCTATTGAATTGTCTTCCAATTTCTTTGCTTATTTCTTATATCTGATAAGGTAAAACCTTTGTCTCAAAAATATCAAACTCATAATTGCGAATGGCATCTGTCCTTAGTAACTAATATATGATTCAAGAATAAATTGAAATCAAGTATGTCAGGAAATTCGATTTCATGCAGTGCACATATTTTCTATTACTATGTTTTATAGTTATTGCTATATGTGATGTAACTACACAGACCTGTAACTAATGTAGACCTGTAATATGACAGCAGAGTGGTAAAAGTTAGAACTGGGAAACTCTTAAAATAAAACGTAATATTTGTTCACACAGTAATTTTAACCAATTGTCATAGTTTTCAAGATCCTAATTCATCAATAACATACCCTGAATTAATATTAATATTATTTTTATATTGATATTATTTCGTATTAATGTAACTTTTTATATTAATATTGATTTTTTAATCAACAGATTTGAAAAATTGAAAAATAAACATTAAACTTTTTGAAAAAAAAAAGAATAAAAATATGTAACAATAATTCAATATTTAAAACAAATTGTTAAAAAAAGCCAGAATAGAATTAAGGTAAAATTCATTGAAAAAGTATAAATTCTGAAAGTTGCATTTAGTTAAATATTTCCAGATTGAAACGATTTTAGTAAGTAATATACTGAAGAAAATTCGACACTTTACACCTTAACATTGATTTTGAAATTTTGTTTGCATTATATATGTTTTAGTTGTTTTACAGCAATTTATTTTTAATAATATTTGAAAAAAATTTTGATTTTTAGCATGTAAAAATTATTGGTATATTACTATAACAAATTTGGTGAGTTCACAACCATAATTTAACATATCCACTCATGAAGCAGTGTAATAAGGCAATATCTTAAGTTACGTTATACGTTATAATAAAGAAAAAAAATACTCTTTAAATATTGAACTCCTAATCTAGGAAGCAATAAAAATCAAAAACCTAATAGTAGCAGATTAAATAAGAAAAAATATTATTATTGGTAAATAACTTTAACCTTTAGATACAAAAATATTTTACAGGAAAGCAATACTGTTATAAATCTCTTAATTTTGTGCGGATGATGACTAAAAAAAATATAGAAATTGATTTTGCGTTATGCCATATAATTTTCCGGCCGAAAATTGTACCTATGAAATGGAAAACTGCTTCACCATCATTAGAGTTTTATATATATAGTCAGACATTGAAAAAATAATTCTCATAGCTTCTTAAGGAATGCTCAATATCCATGATGAAAATATAAACTGCAGAACAATGACACAATAAAAGCATTTTTTTCATTTTAAACATCCAGTAAATATTCGGCTAATCTACCTTAGGAAAATTCAATATTTGTAAAGAAAAAAAATCATAAATATTACTTCCATTAGAAAATCTCTAAATATCTGGCTATTGAATAATTATCGTTTTTAATTTGAATACTTTTTAAATGTTTTATATTTATTTGTTTTGAAGTTGATTAAAAGAATTTTACCTCTAATATTTTTTTTTAAATAATGGATTTCGTAAACGACAATTCGTAAACGTTTGCTTCTAATCAAGCTAAACTAATAACTAATAACTAACAAGTAAACTAATTTGCTTCTAATCAGATTTCCGCAGTTAGTTTGTAGGTTTATAAAAAATAAAATGCTGTAAGATATAAATAACATTACATTTACATAAAAAATTTGTATGAGTTACATTAGAAAATACATAATAAATATTAAGAAAACAAACAATCATTTAATGTTTGCTTTAATAATTTGATCCGCTGTAAATGTACAAAATGCATTTTTTTTCGTTTCCTTTCTTATATCCAAGAAAATACAGATAACTGTTTGTAACAAATAAAATATTAAATGAAAAAATATAGTATAACAAGTTCTGATATTTAAGCACTAAAAATCGCCGCAAGAACTGAGCAAGTCCTGATAATTTTCTACTTATGGAGTGCACATAATAAATCTTATTTTAAGCAAATGCACTTCAAATTAATGAAATTTTGATCAAAATTGATTCGTTTGGAAATGAACAATAAAATTAAAATTTTCGTCCCTTTCATGTAACAAAGTATTTTTTGTTCATTCCTTAAACTACCACTAGGGAGCCATGTCTAGCATTTCTAATTATGTCACGAATTTTTAAACTCATTAAATCCGAATAATTGAAAGACTAGTATTTCCCAAATAATTAATGAAATTATTCACTAAAGAAAACTGGAGGAAGGGATAAAATTGAATCTTTCTCTCCCATAATGAAAATAAGTATGCAAAGCAGTTATGAGCCTTTACTCGAAAAATTACTGTTTGAATAAGAGAAATTTATTCCTTAATTTGATAATTATGTGAACAAAATATTATAATTCATTAAAATAGGTTTTTCAAACTAAGTAAAATACCTTAATGAAAAGAGCATAATTTATTCATTAAGAAAAAATAAAACTTCATTTTTAAATTTTAACATGCATTCAAAAGAGAGTAAAATAATGCATTCAAATTTAAACAGAATATATTAACGATATTCAGAGAAAAATTTAGCATTTTTTACTTATTTTTTAAATTTTTCAAAATTTACATGGTAGTATTAAAAACATTTGTCCTACTTATGGACCTATAAGAGCTAGTCCTTTTTACAGATCAAATGAGATTTCAGATCTATTCATTCAGAGGTTACCGCTCAAGATTCTGT